TCTCCTTCCCCTCAGCGGTTCAAGGGCACGGACGGCGCGGAGAAGGCGGCGGAGAAGGCGAAGCCCGCGAAGGCGGAGGAGGCCAAGGGGAAAGCGGCGAAGCCCGAGGAGGCCGTGGAGGAGGTCGGTGCAGCACCCCAGCCTGGTGGGGTCGGGGCGTGGGGCGGCCAAATTGTCCAGGTCTTCAAAAACCTGGTTATGGCAAGAAGTCTGGTACCACGCCTTAAGCTTACGCAGCTTCTGTAGTGTAATTAGCGGTGGGCCCAGTGCCTCCCTCCCAAAGCTTCAGTCTTTGCTGTAAACTGTGCCTGCGTTGCTATGTTTTCCCCAAATATTGCAGCCCTGCGATAACACATGAGCCTGCCACTCACTAACACTGCATCTGTTCATTCCGTGCCTTGAAATAAGTGGTTGTTCGGTCTTGAATGTCGTCGGTCTGTGACTAGTTAATGCAGCACTCATAACTCTGTTTTTATAAACTTAGGGGCCGCCAAAGTATACAAAATCAATTTTAAAGAAGGGTGATAAAACCAACTTTCCAAAGAAAGGGGACACTGTTCATTGCTGGTATACAGGAAAACTACAGGATGGAACAGTCTTCGATACCAATATTCAAACAAGTAAGGTCATGTATATACTGTTTGGCTTTTGTTGCAAATGCGCATAGAGGAAATTAGCTGGACTCATTAAGCAGTCTTGGGCGGGCGTTGCCTTCTGGAAGGTGTGCATGGTGGGAGGCCAGACAAACCGCTTTCGCCGCGGTGGTGTTGAGCTGACTAGGGGTGTCCCTGAGCTCTGCTCCTGCAGCCTGATTTTCCATGAGGGAACGCAGAGCAGTATTTTAAGACTGGCTGGTGTCAAGTGACAGTGCTGCATCTTGCCAGACGTCACATCTGGCATTCTCCAGGCCGCAGATAATGTGAAATGTGCAGATTTAATCAGTGCTGAAACTACTTTGGAGGAAAGATGGTTCCTGCTCGGGGAGCTCCCCTTATCTATGGAACTCGAGCGCCAACAGTGTAGTTAGCTCCTCAAAATGGACACGTCTTGGTACACTTCTGTAATAAGCCCTTACACATGGAGGCACTGGAACGAGAGTGATTTGAAGTAGTCTGGTGTACCATATCCACTGCAGAGAAGTCTGCTGGTATTTTTGTGACAGTTTCTTGATCAGAGGATTTCCCCCTTCAAATCTAGTTTAAAGCTTTAGAAACACTTTTCCAATAGTGGTGTCCAACACTGAAAGGAACAGCAGGGCTGTCACTGGAATACTGTCTGTGAGTCATCATACTTGTTGTATGATGGTTTATTTTCCCTATTGACTTTTTTTCTTCACTAATGTGTTTATGACTTGCACCGTCAACTTCAATAATTCAGAAATGAGTCTCTGAGGTTCACTGGATCAGTATCTGAAAGATGGTCATCAACTTTAGCTCTTGGTGCAACTTGAACATTTAATAATGTTTTTAGTGCGCAGTACTAAATTTTCCTCAAAATCTGATAGTGGGCTAAAAATATTGTAAGAACAGATAATTATATAAAGCATGATTGTAATAGTAATTTTAAACAGAAGCATGGTATTTGCTGGTGTGATGTTAAAGCAAACGCATGTTAAAACTGTCTTTCAGGTTCAAAGAAGAAAAAAGCAGCCAAACCTTTAAGTTTCAAAGTTGGCGTAGGAAAAGTAATCAGAGGCGTAAGTAAACCGTTAATGACTCCCTCAAAAAGTTTTCATTCTGCAGGATTTATGACTGGAGTGGAAATTTTGAGCTGCTGTTCTTTTTTTCTTGCGGAGGTAAAAAAGCAAGTTGAAAGTGTTTACATCTGCAGGATGTAGTATTTATTCTTTAGGGATGCATGCATTCATCCATCTGCAGTGTCGTTCCTCATTAAGTAGCGTGTGGAACACAGTGTAACGTGTTCCTCAGGACAGGCACAGCCTCTTGGTGCTTCTGTCTGGTGCTCTGCACTATAGACAGGTTATGGGGTTCCTGGGGCTCTATCGATCACTGTATGCACATGGTGAGCTTTAGTCCCTCAGAACATTGTTTTCTCTCAGCATCTTTTTGGCATTTGCCTCAGAGCCTCTTCATGCGTAGTTCAGTTCATCCGTTAATTCTGAACTGGATGCTGAGACTCCAAATTCTGGTTGCTGTTGTGCACTGAAATGAGTTGCAGCTTTGCTGCTGTAACTCCCTTGCTCTGTCAGCACCGAGTGCTGTAGTGGCGCAGGGGGAAGCTGGGTGAGGGGAGTATCTAGGTAGACTAAAAGCACTCCGCAGAAGAATCGAGTGTTCTGCACACCCGTCTGTTGGCTTACATCTTGAAGTCACAGACGCTGATGTGAATGTGGTGTGACTGGGAGATACCAGCCTGTGTGCCAAGCAAATGAGGTGTGTGACTGTCTTGCCGCTGCTGTGCCAGCGGTGAAATTGGTGGCTGTCTGCACGAGGTAAGAATGTCAGAAGGATCTTACGCTTACCTGACTTTAAAAAACAAAACAAACCCAACTCAGCATAAATCTTCCATGCTGCTGCTGTGCAGAAAAAAGGCCATTATGGGTGACTGGATTGGAACTGGGAAGGGGAAAATGCCCCTGGGCTTGTGGCCAGTACTGCAGAAGCAGCAGTGGCCTGGGTTTTCCTGTAGTCTCTTGGCGTCGCGCTCCTGTGTTTGTGTGGGTGCCAGATATCTTCCTTAGGCAGTACAAGGCGTGAGCAGCAGCTGTTCATTGTGAAACGCTGATACGGTGCTCAGCTGAACACTGGCGAGTCTTGAAGTGGGACAAGCACTGAAATAAAATTAGTCTTTAAGCATCAGCCTTAAATAAACGCTGATCCACCACAGAATGGTGGGGAAACATGAGGCAGAGCAAGCCAAACCCCTTGGTGCCGTGTGTGTGGTGGTCTGCTGTGAAATGGGTTCTGAAACTGCGGATACTTCTTAGAAACAAACGTGTTACTGTATTGGTCCACCAGTATCATCACAACATAACAGCACGAGTGTGCACTGCCACGTACAGTAGAGGCTAACGTGGGAGCAGGGAACATCAGCCCAAGGGGAATGTTTCTTTCCACAAACAAAAAAAAAAGGTGAACCTACTTCACAGTGCACACTCCGGGGTGGCTGAGCGTGCTGGAGAGAACGATGCGGTATTGCACAGGTATTCATAGCAGCAAGTTGGAGAAGCATATGAAATGCACTTTTCCTTAAGCTCTGTAAGACTGCTGTGTTCTTCTGTTTGTTTGAGTTTGTTCTGTTTTGTTTTGTTTTTTTTTTTTTAGTGGGATGAAGCTCTCTTAACAATGAGTAAAGGAGAGAAGGCTCAACTGGAAATTGAACCTGAGTGGGCATATGGCAAGAAAGGGCAGCCCGATGCCAAGTATCCTTCCACAACTAATGACTCATTAAGTAACTTGGAAACACTTGGTGGAATACAGTGCTTTATGAACAGAGGTATAACGGGGGGAGCATTCACTTGTTGCTCATAGCAGGCTTAGAATGTTAACAATATAAAAACATTCAGTCAACTTAATGGAGGGATGCAATTGCCTGTTTGTTTAGCAGAAAATCTCCTGTAGGGAGTACTGCAGAGGAGAACTCACTATTGTTTTCTGCCTGCATTTTTATTCTGCCTGCTTCCAAATGCTCATTCCCACAGCGCTGGTGGGGACGCTAATCAGTGCACTGGGGAGGTGGAGGAAAGCTCCCTGCTGCAGCTGCAGAGACAGCAGTGAAATCGTGGCTAGAAGAACTGGTTCTGGGGTACAACTGAAATACGGGACTGAGCAAGTGATCCTGCAGTGTCTTATGCAGCCATGTTTCTTTTTTACCAATAGTTCAGAAGGAAGAGAAGCAATTTTTCCCTCCTGCTCCAATCCTATGTCACGATAATTTAAAGGTCTAGACATTTTTTTTCCCTCTGTAGTGCAGTAGGACAGTCTAATAACCTCCTCCTGGTGACTGTGTCCCAAAACTGGAGCCAAGGCTTGGGCATTCCAGGTGGGACTCGACTGATCACCTTCAGAGGAATGGGACTCACGAGGAGTGTGTCTTAATCAAGGGGTATCTGCGGAACCAGTACTCAATGTCTCATGGTAACTCGTGTTAGACAGCAGCTGCGGTTCCACACTAAATCCAGGATGTTAAAACGGGTCAGTGAAATACAAAACTGCCACATGAGAAAGAGAACAGGTGGTAACTCACTTAACTCTGATTGATGTGATAACTGGGAGGGGGGACTTATTTTTTTTAAAGCTTCCTTAACATCTGCCAACAGGATTCCACCAAATGCAAAACTTTTCTTTGAAGTGGAATTGGTGGATATTGAATGAAATGAAGAGTTTCCTTTGCTGCTGGGAATCCATTTACAATCAAGAAAGCTTCCGATAATGCAGTTTTGCTCTTGTAACTTCAGGATACAGTTACAACTGTGGCCTTGTATTGAAATCAAGTTTGTTTTCCCTGCCCCCCAACTGCTGTACAGTAACACACCACTAAAGAAAACATAGTTTATACATGCAAGCGACTTCACTTTTCTGTGTATGTCATCACCTTAAAACTGCTTTCTCATACTGTGGGGGAAAAATTGCATAGATCTCCAGCACACTGTTAAAGGAGAAGTATTCCCAGCTAGAACTGCCCCCAGTGTTTTTACTACCCGTTGCTGTAGTGAGTGAGCTTTTCCTGAAAAGCATTTCCTTCAGTACTGCAGTCTCCAGCAACGCCTTTCCCTTTCAGCCTTCTCTTCTGTGTAGCTGCTGAGTTTTACAACAGCCCTTACCCAACAATTTTAGTTAACCTAAAATATTAGAAGAGGAAAAAATGTATATTCTAGGCACTACATTTCTCCTTTAAAGGTGTTGTACAGAAGCATCAGGCGCGCTGCCCACCCCCTTCTAGCAGAGAACCGCACATGTTCCTGTACCGCAGCCACAGCAGTTAGTTTGAACAATGCAGGTGTCGAACCAAGACGCGTTCACCCTCCTCCTGGCTTGAATGAGGCAACCCAAGAAAGCTCAGAGGACTACTGAATTCCTTGCTTTTATTACAAAAATGGGAATGATCACTTTGATCAAAATGAAAAAAGTTTGCTCACACTGTGTACATGAAAAACTCTAAATACAAAAATCATCCCAAACACAGTTTGTGCTTTTTAAAAAAGAATGCAACATCATTTTGCACTGCATTTTAATTTTTGACCCCCACATAGAATAGAAAATACATACCGCAGCTTGCAAAGGCTGCCATCGTACTCTGAAGAGTTTCAATTGTAACAACACAAAGAAGCAGTCTGGGATCCGCTTGCTGAGGCAGGGAAAGAAATTTTGCAACAGAGCAAGTGGTGACATTGCGGTTGGAGCGCGGAGCAGGAGAAGACAGCCTTGCTCTGGCCCCGCCTGCTCCGCTCCTGCAGCAGCTGTGGCGGCCAACGCTGCTCGGCAGAACGGCTTCGGGAAACAACCCAACAAAACTACAGCTTTACTGATTAAGTCTATGGAATCATTATGGGACTGAAAGAAATTCTTCAGATATCTCCATAAATTAGTGCAGGGAATTTAAAAAAAAAAATAATGCATTTATGGTAAACTAGAATTGTACAGAGATACCATTTATCAGTTACCGGCACACAAATCTTGCTTCACACATACCCTGTGAACATCAGCTCGTTTCACATGCAAAAGACCAAAAAGCAGGTATTACAACAGTTCTTTCACATCCCTAATTTAGAAAAATATATATTTTTTTATTCCATCTCTGTTGAAACTGCAGCACAGTGAACTTCACTCACTCTTTGGATCAAGTTGGATGATAATACTGTCCATAATTCCACGCGTTCTGGTAATTGTACTGGAAAAAAAAAATACACCACAGTAAGGTAAGTCAGACCGCCCACGCTGCATGAAGAACACCTGATAAGCTCTCTCTCGTTCCAGAAAGGCACAGGTGAGCTCACCCTCTGTAACTGTCACGGTTCTGAAGAGTGGCCAGGGTGGCTGTGCCAGTGTTGGCATGCCCACCCAGAACGGTCTCGGGCCCTCTCCAGCATAACACTGCACGCAGCCTGACCTCTGAACCACCGTAACGATCCACTGGAAGTCGGCTTTGTTCTGGACATCCAACTGCTGTGTAGTTCAGTCACAAGCCCAGGGTCAGGTTTGTACTGAGGGCCTGTGCCGAGGCTGGTACTGTTGCCTGAGGTGGTTTTAGTCTCTTAATACACGCGTGTGGCAAGTCTTCAAATGGAGGTCAGGTCCGAGGTTCACTCTACCCTCAGCTCCCCTCCTCAGTACCTGCTCTACATCTCCTCGCCACTCCTCTTTCAACGCTCCCATAAGAGGGAGGAAAAAGGAAGGGAGCAGAAGGTACCAAAGTGTGGATTGCCTGTGTTCTAGCTCCATGTCCATGTTCAGCACACGCCCCAAGACAGGGGGGCCAAGGGACATGGCTCAAGTGCCCCAACACCACCCGCTTCAAATCCATCAATTTGCAGCTAGCAGAGACCATCACAGACAGATCCCATGGTCTTCCTGCAACCAGCCGTACCCCGGCTATCCCTGCTGAGCTTAGGTAGGTATTCGGCAGTGTAACATTCCTGGGGTGGCACGAACAAATGTCTCCACTCCCTCAGAAAGTGCTTCTGTCCGCTATTCTCAAGCAGACTGTGAAATGCACAGAGGTAGGCAGTGCTGCAGTTACCATGCCAACCACAGGACTGAGATCTCCATCAACACTGTAAGCCTGCTATTCCCATGGTTCTATGTTGGAAAACTTGGAGCATTTTTTCCTGGCCTAGCGCTGAGCAGAGTTCCCCATGCCGGGTGCAACACCTTTCACCGCTTGACTTTGGAAAGAACACTTGACCTTGGTGCGGGCAATTCTAAACCACAGTTACACAGCAGCTGGTTTGTGTCCCACCTCCAAACACTGTTCTCACAGGCCTGGCAGACTCCTTGCAGTCTAAACAACAGTGTTCATTAAACTGCTTCAGCAAAAGTTGCAGTTGGACGTCTACGACTCACACCTCAGAAGAGTAAGTACGCAAGCCTGCAGGACGTAACTCTTGTCCCAGCTGAGGGGGCAGCAGCAGCTCCCACCCGCAGCAGTGCTGATCTCATCCAGAAAGGCAGGTCTGCAGCTCTGCCTTTCCAGCCTGCCCCTTGGACACGTCAGAGCACAAAGTGCGCTGTCAGTCTAGAAGCAAGCGGAGCATGTGCTGGAGGGTGCTGCTGCCACAGGCAAGAGGAAACCAAGGTATGGTATTACTGATTGACTCTAAGCCCGTATAGGGGACAAAATGAAACGCCATGCAAGAACAGCCCCAAAAGACAAGTGATGGAACAGACTGGGTTTGCACGCGCTGCGTACAGTGTGGCAGAACCCACACCAAGATGTTACAGGAACTACTAGCTGGAGAAAGTAACTGTCAAAATGCACAGTAAACTGGCATCCCAAGGCAAGTCTCTGGGGCAAAACATTTCAGCACACAAGGGGTCTATTGCCCTTAGCCAGCAACGCCCTTCGCTGCTGTCACACACCCCGTCACAGGAAGAGCTGGCCACCAAACCACTCATCTTCCTCGCAGAGAGGAACAGTTTACACTCGTGTAACAGTCCAAAGAGGAATCAACAGAAGCAGGAGCTAAATTTTTACTCCAAGCGTTCCTCACCAACTGACACTGGGCCACAGACAGATAAAGTCACTGGGAAAACCACACCATGTATACACTCAGAATGTGCGTTAAAGGAAGTACCTACCTGGTACCAGGCATTGTAGTTATACGCTGCCTGATTGACTTGCATGTCTCCATCCATCATCTGTGCTGATGCCAAAGTTGGGTCATCTGTGAGCATTTTCTTTTCATCTGGCTCCTCTGATCTGTGAAGTTAATATTTGCTTGTAAATGGTATCTTAGATCAAATTCTGAGCATGTCTTCAAACAAGAAATGTTATAGTAGATAAGGGTAAATAATATTTTCAAACTCAGTGCCCTGGCCAAACAGGGTAACCAAATATGATTTAGAGAAAGACAGAAGTATATTTGGCTTCAGAACAACAGGCTGTTTTTTTAATTCTCTGGTGCTCGAACTGAGACAGCTAAAGCATGTTTCTGCTTAGAGATAGAGTTATTTTTACCAGGACTGTTTACCTTTTCTGTGAAACATAATTCAAAAGGTTATTTTCCAATAAATCTGTCTCCAAATATTTAAGCCAACAGTACAGCCCTATTTAGTATACACTTTAAGTGATTAAGACAACAGTGATTTTGTCCGTGCAAGGTTTAAAGCTGAAAAATAGATGTATATATATTCAGACTGAAGAAAAACAATAGTCCCTGAGATTGTTCTCTGAACTATTTTTAAAGCATTTCCAAAGTGCTTTGTATCAGCTCTAGCTCAGTGTAGTACGCGTTCCAGCTACCCAATACCAAATCATCTATCAAGTTTGTTTATACCCTCCCTCAGGTGAACAGGCTTCCTACCCGTTCTCTGCTCTCCTTTTCAAAGAATCCTGCTCCTTTAGAAGTGCTTGATGTTCATCATAGGCATCCAGAAGCCTGAAGGAGACAAAAAGAAATAAAGCTTTGCTCACCGTTTTCATGTAAACATTTTAAACACACGAGCAACCATTTTAAAATGTCTACTTCAAACTGTACAAATACAAAACCATTCCAAACCACACTCAATCATAATTCAGTTTTAATCAGTGACCCACCATGAAGATGGAAAAGCCAAAAAACTTAATTTAAAGGGGGATTCCAAAATGCATATTGAAGAATTTTCTGCTAGCTCAGAAATGCCCAATTTGCTCAGCTTTTATCACACCTCATGCAGTTTTTTTACAAAGTTCCTTTATAAACAAGTTTCTAAAACTTGTTTGTGATACAGCTGCTTCTTCCAGTAACTGAATTCCCTCAGCTGCGCACTGATGCCATCCATAGCAGCACTGAGATTTAGGAATCAACATTTCTTTAAATACCAGAAATGAGTATTATACAAAACTATTACAACTCTAAAGTATCACCTACAGCCTTTCCCCAAACAACATGGGAAGCATACGTATATTAAATGCAGCACAAAAGTCATATTATTTATATACTAAGTATAACCATACGTTGCTGAGTGAAGAGTAATACTTGTGCTTCCTAGCTAAAATTCCCATGAATAACTAAGTATCATTTCATCTGCTGCATACCACGGTTTACACGGTATCACACGAAAACCGCTTCTTCTGTCAGTATTATTCTTGGTGGAAAACATTTCTTGTACTTATTCTATGCTCTAGTATTATTTGGGAACAGAAACTTCATTTTGGCTGCTCCATCTAGGATCCCAAACTTGCAACGCTTGACTGCCACCCAAGTTAGGATGTTCAGAGTCAGCAGAAATTAAGGACAGCTATTGTTCGAAACATACAAAGCAGAAAAACTAACTTGTGCTTAGTCCTTCCAAATTAATTAGCTGCAAATTGTAAATAAAAACAAGGTCTTGTTTTACAAGAGAGAATTAAGAGGAAAAAAAAGT